TTCTAATGTGACTCTCCTGATACTACCCTTCTCAATCTCTCTCTCCTGATACTACCCTTCTAATGTTACTTTCCTGATATTAGCCTTCTCAATATTACTCTCCTGATACTACCCTTCTAATGTGACTCTCCTGATACTACTCTTCTCAATATTACTCTCCTGATACTACCTTTCTAATGTTACTCCCTGGTACTACCCTTCAAATGTGACTCTCCTGATACTACCCTTCGATTACTATTCACTGCTGTTGAGTGGATTCTAACTCATAATGACCCAGTAGTGCCACCTGGGCTCTCCACTAATACTACGCACACTTTATTCTTTATAAGACTGATCCTGGAAAGGAAAAAAAAGACAAACTGAAAGCAAAAATCCCTTTCAACTGCCGTTTCTCAGAGTGAGGTTGAGAGTGAGTTGCTGGAGACTCAGCGACACCTTTCCTGGTTACCATCTGCCTCCTCTTCTGTTTCTTCCACCGTGAAAGGCTACACAGATAGATGACTTCTAAATAGGTCACGGCCCCCAAAGGGTTTGGATCTGAGAATTTATACAGTAGCAGTTTCTTGGAGGCTCGGGGTTTGTTTTTGTTTTGAAGAAATGGAGTCAAGAATGCCGGGGTTGTGCAATGAAATGATCTAGTCTTGTGGTGCGAGCGGCGTTCCCTTCCTCAAGTTGACCACCATGATGACAGGGGTAGTGAACGCACTGACATCAGACCCCACAGGACACGATGAATGACTCCCAGCCTTTCTGCAGGAGCTGGCCCAGATGCACACGCACATCTCAGACACGTCGGTGGTCCTGTCCATGGACAACAACCGCAGCCTGGACCTGGACAGCATCATCGCTGAGGTCAAGGCCCAGTACGAGGACATTGCCAACCGCAGCCGGACGGAGGCCGAGTCCTGGTACCAGACCAAGGTGGGTGCCATGCGTGAGGGACGGACAGGAACCCAGCTTGGGGTCTTAAAACCTGGCAATGTGACTCTTGGCTGGAGTTATGGCAACAGTCGTAGATACATTTTCCCCCACGGAAATCCCAGAACCTTAACAGAAATCTCACCTTTGATCTCACATCAGTGTCGCTGGTAAAGGAAAGGCCTTCTAAAAGGCATTACTTCAAACCAGCTTCCTGTTCTGTCAGCGTGGAGCCTAGTCCAGCCCCAGGATCCCACATAAGTGCAGTGCTCGCCATGCCTCGTTGGCTCACAGCCTGTGAACCTCGGGGGCGGGCCATCCGAGCTCATGTGAGCTCCATCCTCTCTCTGTTCTGGGGGTGCAGTACGAGGAGTTGCAGCAGACAGCCGGGCGGCATGGCGACGACCTGCGTAACACCAAGCACGAGATCTCCGAGATGAACCGGATGATCCAGCGGCTCAGGGCGGAGATCGACAATGTCAAGAAGCAGGTAGGTTAAGCCTGCAAGAAGGCAAGGGAAACACAAACTCGAACCCACTGCCATCGAGGCAATTCTGCCTCCTGGCGACCTGAGAGGGAGAGTGGATTGCCCCGGTGGGTTTCTGAGGCTGGAGGTCTTCATGGGAGCAGACAGTCTCATGCCCTCCTGCAGAGCCACAGGTGGGGTTGGGTCGATAACCTTGCTAACCCCCTACACCACCAGGGTTGCTAAGCAGTCAAGAAAGGGGTGTGAAGTCTGAAAGAGAAGACTGTTTGGTTTAAATTCTGTGTGCGTGCTCCTGGGGCACCAGGACTTGAAGTTGGTTCTCACCCCAGGAGGTTGTTAAAATGTTGATTCAGATTCACTCAATGATCTGGGGTGGAAAGGCAAATTCTCTGCAGGGGGGCTAACCAGAAGGAACCAGCCTGAGGCTCTGGTGAGTCAACACAGACACCTATTATTTAAGTGTCTGATGTGAGTGGAAGCAAGTCCCACTGTCCCACAATGCCAAACGCTCAGGTGCCACCTGAGCTGCAGATCGCTTAGTGTGCTTGACCCAGAGCCTCAGAAAGACATACTGAAGGCCCAGCTTAATCATCGGTGTCCCTATTGCCCTTCCCCTCTGTAGTGCGCCAACCTGCAGGCCGCCATCGCTGACGCTGAGCAGCGTGGGGAGCTGGCCCTCAAGGACGCCAGGAACAAGCTCTCAGAGCTGGAGGACGCCCTGCAGAAGGCCAAGCAGGACATGGCCCGGCTGCTGCACGACTACCAGGAGCTGATGAACGTCAAGCTGTCCCTGGACGTGGAGATCGCCACCTACAGGAAGCTGCTGGAGGGCGAGGAGTGCAGGTGCGTTAACACCTGGCTGACATCAGTTGCCGGGGATGGCCTTCTGTTTGAGCACATGGAGTTTCTACTTCCCCACATGCTGTAAAATGTACCTACAAAGTGCCACTATATTGCATACGATCATTACCCATGGGGCTTCAAACCGACTCATGTGCATACAGCCAAGTCCATACAATCTGGTTTTAAGGGGCTGTTCTAATCTTGCTCATCTCAATTGATCGTGAACGCAGCTTCCCTCCAAACAACTAAGCAAGTCCGCATGCGTGTCCTGAACTTTGTCCCCTAGGTCTCATGCAGCTCCAGAAGCCTTTCACGATTGCTACAGCTGAGGTGACCTCAGCTGCCTTCGGGCTCTCAGACTAGGTCTTTGTGTCCATCTCTGACATTGAACCCTGGCGTCCTTTCTGCCAGAAGGAGCTGTCTGGGTCACGGGCTCTCATTCTGTGACTAAGCTCGACAAGGCCAAACTGCATTAAAGATGTTCACATTTCCCCAAACCTTTCAACTGGCGCTTTCCAAGCAATGGGTGGAGAAGGACGTGAATTTCAATCTTCCTTTGGCAACCTGTTCCTAAGGCCTTGTTGCTGGGGATTCCCTCCTGAGACTTAGCTCCGGCTCTAATTTACGTATGTCTTCAGGCACACAGGCTCCTAGTTTATGGAACAAGCCCTAAAAATGACTGTAGGAGTTGTCCACATGGACTCATTCGGTGTTTTCTTCTTCCTCTTCTTTGTGAGGGTTCCACTCCCATTTCGATTTTTCTCTCTTTCAGGCTGAGTGGAGAAGGCGTCGGACCTGTCAATATCTGTAAGTAACTGTGCGTGGTAAGACTGATGATGGCTTGGGTATTTGGAAATAATGATAGCCTGGGGTATTTGGCGCCAACTCAGCAAGCTGCTGAAGCACTTGATATTCCCGTCCAGCTACATTGCTAGTTAAAAATACTCAGTGCGAAAGCAGGTGATAGGAGGGAAAAGAAGACAAATTAGGACCCAAGGTCACGTGGCTCATGCCCCTTCTCTTCAAGGTCAGCACTATAAGGATAATCTCTCCATCTTGGCCCTTGTCCCCTGCAGTGTCCCTGCACCCCACCCTAGCCCCACCACGGTTACCATTTTCTGTAAGGAAGCAGCATCAGGCCTCCACACCTTGTCTGTCACTCCTCCCAAGGAGCCCGGTTCTTGGTCGAGCAACGACAAGATCCAGCCCGAGCAGGATGAGCCTCACAGACCGCCCTCACCAAGTTCTCCCTCTTGTCTCTGCAGCCGTCGTCACCAACAGCGTCTCCTCCTCCTATGGTGGTGGCAGTGGCTTTGGAGGTGGCCTTGGGGGAGGCCTTGGCGGTGGTCTCGGCGGAGGTGGCAGCGGGATCTACTACTCCAGCAGCAGTGGAGGCCTCGGCATGGGCAGTGGGCTCAGTGTGGGGGGCTCTGGCTTCAGTGGAAACAGTGGCTTGGGGCTTGGCTTTGGCAGCAGCGGTGGCGGGGGCAGCAGCTCCAGCGTCAAATTCGTCTCCACCACCTCTTCCTCCCGGAAGAGCTTCAAGAGTTAAGAGCCCAGCACCAAGTCACTGCGCCCACGTGCAGCAACCAGGCCTGTGGTGACTGCTTTTCCTAGGAAGTCGCCCAAGCCCAAGTTTTCTCTTTTCTGGAGCATAGATCAGACCAACCCTACTGCAAAGCCGCTGCATTCTTTGATCCACTAGAGCGGCCACTACCCCAGGCTCTGGTCCCCTGTATCACAACTGTATGTTCTGCTTCAAATTAGTCTTGGTCCTCGATGACAACAGAATCCAAAGTTCCCCAGTGTCTCAATCCAAAGAGAGCCCCCACCCCACCCATTCCGTTATTTCTGGTTCTGACTACTTCCAGAATGTGTTCAAATAAAATGCTTTTATAATACAGGATGGTGTGTGGAATTGTTTTTCAAGATCTAAACCCAGGCTAGGGACCCATGAGAGGCGCTCTCACCACCATGCGTGCCTGGTTCTGTTGCAAGCTCACAGGGAGAATGGAACGGCCTGGAAGGGAAACAAGCTATCGTAGGAGATCCAGAGGAGACAGGAGGTATAAGAAGAGGCTGCTAAATCTTCTACAATAAAGGAGTCAGTCTCTGGAGGGCGCCAGCAGGCGTGTTGCTGTATTGCCACGTGGACAGTTCCAGGGCATTTGTGTGGGAGAAAGAGGAGGTTTTTATCCTATCATGAAGAATGACAGTCTACAAGGTCACTGCGAGTCAGCATCAACTCCGTAACAGGGAGCATTTTGTTGGAGGGGGTCTAATCCAGGTGAGGCGCTCTGTTTGGAGCACGTGAATAAAACATGTAGATGAGGAATAGGTTGCCTCCACAACCCAAGAGGCCTGAGAGATGAGCTTGTGATAACACTGTGAGTGCTGAGATTCAGCAGCTGGGGCTGCTTGGTTTTGGACAGGCCTGGAAGGGCCCTGGGTTGACAAAATGTAACTGAGGCGGCAGCGTGTGTGAGGCCATCCTGTTTTGGAAACGCCTTTGTGAATACTTCCATGTCTTAAATGAATTCGTGTCGACTGAATCTCTTCAGAAGAGTACATCACGGGTGTTATCTCATACCTGTGCTCCTGGCCAATGGCAGATGCTGTTCAGAGCTTGTCTGCAACACTCTGTATTGATTGTAAGGCTGTTGAGGTATGCGATGAGTGGATGGGTAAAGGTGTATTATGCCCCTTCTGAGGGGAAGGCAAACAACTGTGGCTGAGAGACTCTGGAAAGAGTTTAACTGGACAGAACTTATCAGCCAACTCAATAATAGTAAAATATGTGCTGGCTGCTGATTGGATGGCGTCAGTAATTCCAATGATACTGGCCCAGGGCTTTAGTGGGTGGTGGTAATGCACTGTGGGTGTGGTGCTATTCATTCGACTCAAGTTCAAAAACAAGCCTAAATAAATAAGGAAGCAGGGAGCATAATCGTCTCTTCTCTAAGTAGGTCTTATAGACTCTACTGCCATTGAGCAGTGTCTGACTCATCGGTTCTGACAAAGGCCAACACGGTATGAAGCGGTTGATGACTATGTAGTAAAGCTTTCTGGTCTGGAGAGGGAAGGCAGGCCTCTCCAGCTGGCCCAAAAATGGCTGGAGAGGATAGGGAAAGAGACGGAATGGGGTGTTTATGGTGTGAGAGTGGGGCCCATCAAAGGGTTCTAACACATGGGCCAGGCTTCCCTGGCCAGTGGAGCCCTCGGCCTTTCTCCTCGTTCTTCCAGATGTAGACAGAGGGACGAGATAGGGCTCATAAGATCCAAACATCATTACAAGGTGTCTTTTCATTCAAATATCAGTCACATAACATGTCACATTAACAGGAAACAGAAGGAAAAAATAGTAGAGACATCAAATGATCGTTTTGAGAGATACAAGGAAAGTGTTTTAGCACTCAGTGATCATCTTAAAGCTATAAAGAGAAGCATGTAGAGAACATTTTCCACCAAACAGAACATATTTACTTCACAGTGAATGACTGAATGATTGAAATGTTTTCCTTTGGGATCACAGGGGAGGCCAAGAGCCCTATTGCCCTGTAACTATCAACCTCATCCTAGAGACAGATCTGGCACAATAAGGAAAGGCAAGAAGCAGGCCCCATTTGTTTTTTCGTTTTTAATCATTTTATCAGGGGCTCTTACAGCTCTTATCACCATCCATACACCTATCGTGTCCAGCATGTTTGTACATATGTTGCCATCATCCTTTTCAAAACTTTTTCTTTCTACTTGAGCTCTGGGTATCCGCTCCTCTGACACCTTGTGGAGAGACAGGAAGACAAGTGCAGGATTTCCCACGGAATGCGGCTGTGAATGCAGAAGATCCCAACAGGTCTCCAAATGGTCAGAGTATCTGGAAGCTAGACAACATACTTCTAACTCAGGGCTTCTTAGACTTTCTTCATTCGCAACCCCTTTCACCGGAGAGATTTGCAACCCAGGCTAATTACTGCCAGAAACACCTCAGGGTCGGTAAGCTTTTGCTTTAGAATTGATTTTTGCTTGTTTTGCTGCGAAAACTTTTATGACTGCCCAATGTTTTGTGACCTCCCAGCCCCACTCCCACATTCAGTTATGAGACGACGGCAGCGGTTCTCAACCTGTGGGTCGCGACTCCTTTGGGGGTCGAATGACCCTTTCACACGGGCTGCTCAATTCATCACAGTAGCAAAATTACAGTATGAAGTAGCAACAAAAATGTTATGGTTGGGGGGTTACCACCACATGAGGAACTGTATAAAAGGGTCGCGGCAATAGGAAGGTTGAGAACCACTGCTCTATGGAATCGAGCCCCTCAGTTTAAAAAGCTGTGTTCTAAATAACATATGGGTTTAAGAAATCTCAAGGAAAACCAGTCTCCAAAATGGAGAAAATTCGAGAGAACCCACTCTACCTAAGTTCAAGACATACCCTAGAGAGACAGTAATTAAAGCAACACTGCAATAGTGTTAATGCTATACACATAAATCGTGGAACAGAACAGAGAGTCCAGAAACCACCAAATGAGTTTGACAAGGGAACCACAGCAATGGAGTAGGGGAACGAACATTGCTTTTAACACATTTTTTCATGGTATTGTAGTAAATTATAATTTATAGAGACTACAGAGAACCTCAACCTCTGCTCCATGCTGTACACAAAAACAAATTTGAGATGAATCATAAATTTAAGTGTGAAAGCCAAAATGACAAAGTTTCTGATAGGAAAATAGGATACCGGAGAAATAGAATAGAAATAGAATACTGGAGAAAATATTCTTAACACAATTACCCTACTGAACAATGGCATGGATATGGTTTCTGACCTCTAACTTACCAACGGGAAGAGAGAGGAATTACTATTAGCATTAGCTCAAGTCTGATTTCTATGAGGAGAAGATCAGACATGCCTCTACCCTCCAATCTATATGAGTTTGAGAATTCATTGCAATTACCACCCAAAACTCACAAACAATACTCATGATCCTGGGGGTTACTAGGGAAACTGATTACCATTCAGGGTCAGGAATGCTCAGGATGCAGGTCTTCAACCAGGAAGCTGTCTCTCACAGGCACACCTCCGTCAGACGTACCCGCGCTTGGCCACCATCCTGCTCAGGGAAGTATTTTTAATATTGTGCTACACCCAAAGGTCTCCAGTCCCAGCTCTGTGGTCACTTTTCTCCGTTAAGTGACCAGAGGCATACCACTCCACCTCTGCCTGAAGTTGTTCAGCTCTCCTCCTTCGTGGGGTAAGAAGCCCCCCACTCTGGCTCATCCCAGTGCTGCCCTCTCTGCCTCTTGCCATCGCCGTCTCTGCTGTCACGGTTCTCTAGCTCCTGGTTAGCGGTAGTTCAACACAGGGGTCTCAGGTCGTACTTCCTTCCTGGCTCCTCTTTCTTGATGTCATGAGATTCCCCTTCCACCTCTGGGGTGGCTCTTTCAAAATACTAGCCCAATGGAAAAACTGACCAATCCTCCCATTAGGATTCGTTCGATGCATCTTATTTTAATGGCCCCACCACTCAATGGTATTTCATTTACATTTTAGCAAGCTATCCAATCCTCTGGGTCGTCCACATCTGCACCGTCCCACCCCATCATTTGATGAAGATGATCACTAGGAAGTTCTGGTGACATAGTGAGTTATAAGTTGGGCTGATCTCGAACTGCTGACCTTTTGGATCGCAACCAAACTAGTAACCACTACGCCATGGGGGCTCTGACTAGGGAAATCAATTAGATGGTAATGAGAGGACGGTCATATCAAGTAATTGACTGCATTGCACTGCACTGCCAAAGGACTTTCATAGCTCCCACGACTCAATGACGACAAGACAGCGCAATATCAAATGAGCAAATTACTCAGACACGTCCTTGAGTGGTCAGTATCACATGAAAGTGTTCAACATAATTCCGTATCAGATAAAGGCAAATTAAAATCACACAAAGTGTGATGGTTGAGAATGATGTTAACTGGGCACTGTTGAGTAAGGGAGGTTGGTGGGACTCAGCCTATCAATTGCATCACGGCACGATGACACCTCCTTGGTGTCATTGGCCTCTTTTGTAAAATGAGAGACCCGGCTGAGTCGAACCCTCTGTAGCCCTTCACCTGCTGCTGGAGCTGGATCTTGCATCTGGCTCCTCCGTCTCCTGTTGCCTGGCCTGCTGATCCCCGGGGCCATCAGCCGACTATGAGTGATGGATTCGTATGGCCAATTACGTACCTCCACATCCACCAGCTGGTGCCCCACACTGCCTCAGCTTTGTCGTCCCGCTTCCTCACTTGCATCAGACTGCGCTTATTAATTTCTACAACAGCGCAAGCTATCTCTTGATCTACTTCTCTTTCTATTTACAACACACAGGCCAGTGCCTTTGGGTTTGCATCTCAAGAGGGCCCAACCTAACACACAGGGATTCCTGCCCTCCCTCTGGAAGGACAAGCATGAAAAAGACCAACCACAGCGAGTGGTTCCCAAGACATGGAGCAAACTGGACTCTGGTGTGTTGTGGATGGGAATAAAACGTGGTACAATCACTTTGGAAACCTGGTGTACATTTATCTTCTGAACCACCCATTGCCTTCCGAGGTGTTTACTGAGGCAAAAGGAAAACACACAGCTACACAAAGACTCACAGACATGTTCCAGCTTTATCCCAGGTCACTGCGTCCTGGAAACCCTGATGGCAGTGTGAGTTATAGATGGACAGGAGTTTGTCAGAAGTGATGGAACTCTACATGTAAGAACTGTGTGCGTTCCACGTCTCTACCTCAACAAACAACAGCAACATGACAATGAGCATTGCCAGTTCCCTACTTCTACAGCGGAAATAAGCAAGGAAGACGTGAACTGGAATGCGAGAGAGATGAGCCACCCTGTCTCTGCGACCGGTCCCAGCCTTTCAGCGCCCGTTGGCTGTCTTCTGTGCCATCAGGAAAGAACGAGCAATCTCCAGGCTATTTCCCAACAGCAACTGAGGGAAAGTGGATGGAAATCACATGGATCAGACCTCCCCGAGGCTTCCCTTCCAACATTAGTTCCCCAGCCCTGTGCCAGGGTAGCAGTGATCTGTCACTAATCCCACCCCTAGGCGTAGAGTGAGATTACAGAGGATTAACAGATGGAGGGATCCACTAAATGCCAAGAAATCTCAGGGGAGGCCATCCAAGGCATGCTTCTCTCTCGGATATTCCTATTTTAAGAGCCAAATGATTTTTAGATGAACCTTTGGGGTACAAGTTACCCACCAGATGCGTTGTTAACCCGACATTTTCCTTTGGCTGAGAGAAAGGAAGTTTCTAACAAGAAGGCACGGTATCACCCCCCCTGGGCTGTTCAAGTGTTTCCCTAACTGCACTTTTTTAATGGTATGGCAGAGTGAGGTGGGCCCAGCAGTGGGGAGAAGCTGAAAAGCCAGCGGCTCAATGTGAAGTTGGACATAGGGAGTCAGGGGCGTGAAAAGAGCCCTGGTGGTGTTGTGGTTACTCGTTAGGCTGTGAGCTGCATGGTCAGCAGTTCAAATCCACCAGCAGCCACTTGGTGAACCGTAAGCAGTTATGGTCTCAGAAACCCACAGGAGGTGGCTTGGGGCAGCATTCACTCAATGGCAGTGAGTTCAGTTTGATTCAAGGACCTGAGGGAGGCAATAAAGGAATAAAAATACACACAGCCCACTGACTGAGGACACCTTGGAGATTCTGCTGGTCCATCTGGAGGTCCGGCGCGTTTCCCTCCCAGCCCTGTGTGTTTTAGGCCCTCAGGGCGATACAAGATACCCCCTGATGCCCTCACCACTTCGCTTTGCCCTGTGCATGGCGGGCAGGTTCTCACCTACACTCTTCCCACTTTCGCATCTTCTTCTCAAGCCCCTTCCACCTCCGACATGACGCTCAGCCTCAGAGCGTCAAAACGCCTCACGCAGGAGACAGCTGTCGCAACGTCCTCACAGTGATCAGGAAAGCCAAGCACTGTCCCCTCTTCTTCCCATGCCCGCCCATCCGCGGTGGCTCCACGATGTGCATGTCACTGACGTAATCACTCACGTGACGGTGCCCCTGCTCAATGCCAATGTCCCAAATGCTCAGTACCAGCATGTGCCAGTGCGTCTATGACAAGCCACCAAAGTGAGCAAACCCCAAGCCTTCATTCCGTAACCGCAAAGCCCTGGGATTCCCCCTCGAGAACATGAGCGGCAGGCATCCTGCGCTGTCATGTCTGCGCTCCCGCCACTGGTTTCGAGCCGCGCCGCTTTCCTACATTTTCTCAAGGCCACGGAAGACAGGTGGTTCAGGTGGGTCTTGATATAACCTCACTAGAAGAAGCCACGCGGAGAGGCATTGATGATTCGGGACAAGAGAGAGTTCCCAAGACAGGCAATGTGTTGAGCCAATCATTTTCTCAAGCATGGTGGTAGGTGTTCTTTAAATGAGCTCTTCATCCCATGATTGGCCTGAGGGAACACGCCGATTGCGTTAGAAAACAGAGTCGTCAGAGTCTTCCTGTCACTGTGAGAGAACCCTCCTTTCATATGCTCCGACAGGTGGCCCCAACATCCATCATCGCACTCTCAAAATACATAAATAAGAAGTGCAATCGAAAAATATAAGGGGAGCTCTATCGTTTCATAGTAGGTGTTACATGGTCATTAATATGCTCAAGACAAAACAAACTCACCACCATCATGCGGATTCAGGCTCACAGCGACCCTGTCTGTTGGTTACTGAGTAACTACGACCACTAGTCACCTGTCCTGGCGTGGGTGTTGCTGTGATGCTGGACGTTCTGCCACTAGCCTTTCAAATCTGAGCAGGGACAGGTTTCAGTGGGGGTGCCAGACTAAACCAGACCAGGGGGAAAGGCCTTGTGATCTACTTCTGAATATTAGCCATCAAAAACCCTATGAGCCTAGTCTGAGGGGACACCAAGGCTCATCAACATAACATAGTCCACAAAGACAATGCTCTACAATTGACCTGGATGATTAACAACGGGGGTCTTCAAAGCTCATGAGCAGTCACCTAAGAGGCCATCTACGTCATCTAAGAGGCAGCTGTTGGCCTCTCCCCATTCAGAAGGAAGACGAGTGATGAAGCATCAACAACGGCAGCGATTATTCCAATGGACGAATGGGCCACACAAACACCAGCCTCCACCACCCATCCAGAGACCAGAAGGCGTACATGGTGCCCTGCCATCATCACCAACCACTCTGAAGAGGACCGCATTAGAAGATCTGGATCAGCTGAGATAAAAGTGTGGGCCAAACCCCAAATCCGAAAAGAGATCAGGAGTGTCGGGCAGGGAGTGACCCCCAAGACTATGGCCCTTAGCCACCAACTGTTAATGATCAAAAGGGAAGCATTGACCCAAGGACAGAGGGTTAGCAAAGGAGGTATGGGAACGACCAGCACAGGGAAGAAATAGCAGAAGCCCCTCAGGTACATTGAGGGCACTGAAGTGGGTGAGTGGAAACAAAAGGTGTACAAGTTGCCAAATGATCTGCTCTGTAAACCTTCACCTAATACCTACCCAATACAAAGTTTTCTTTTCTAAAGAAAAGAAATCAGAGAAAGACAATTGGCAGCAAAAAGAAAGAAAGATTGTGATGACCGTGTTGCTGTTGCCAGGTGTCCTGGAGTCAGTTCAACCCTGTGCACCACAGAAGGAAACCCTGCCTGTCGAGCGCCACCCTCACTGTTGTCCTTACCATTGGGCCCACTGCTGCAGCCACAGTGTCAATCCATCTGGTTGAGGACTTCCCTCGTTATCCCTGTCCCTCTACTTTAAGAAATACGATGTCCTCTCCAGGAACTGATCTCTCCTGACAACATGCCCATAGTACATGAGATGACAACTGGCCATCCTTGCCTCTCTAAGGAGCATTCTGGCTGGACTTCCTCCAAGACAGATTCATTGGCTCTTTTGGCAGTCCATGGTACCTCCAATACCGAACATGCACAACTACTGAATGAGTGAGTGTTTTGGAGTGTGCATTTCCAAGAACAACAAAATGAAGGCAATTCAGAAAAACAGACGAGCAACAGCACTATGAGTGACAACCGAGCATCCATCCAGTTTACTTGCTTTGGGCATCAGGTGGATCAGGCACTGGAGGGGACAGTCACATTCGGTGTCGCAGAGGGCCAGCAGGGCGAGGGAGAGCCTCGGTAGGAAGGATTGGCATTGTTGTCATCCTCCCACTGACAGACTGGACGCTGCCAGCAGTTACGAGGAGGAGGAGGGCTGGGCAATGTCTCATTCCATCCTGCCCGGGATTGTCGTGAGTCGGAGCCCACATGCAGACGCCAATAATGATGGCGAAGCAATAATATTTTGATGGCGCCAATAGCTTTTGAGTCACTCTGCATCATAGAAGGCTGCCTCGTCCACGCCAGACCTACTGCTACGGTCTCCGTTCTTTATGTGCGCGGTTGCATATTTCTACTCCGAGGACCAGAACGGGGCTGCGGGATTCCCTCGGAACGCTATCATCCTCCCCTGCGGCCTGCAGGATGGGGATTAGGCGCTTTGTTTTAGGTTGCTGTGGATAATGACAGTAGCCTATCCCTCATTCTGATCTGCCAGCCCCACCCAGGGAAGCAGAAAGACAAGGCAAATCCCTTGAGACAGAGTTTCCACAGGCTCTCCCTCCTGCTTTCCTCCGTGCTGGGAAAAATGCAAGGCGTTCGGGTTAACCTCTGAACCCAGCCCAGAGGCTCTCTGGGCAAGCACTGGATCATAGGCAGGTTCCCTGGCAGAGAAGAGGTTGGGCTCACCTGTCCACCACAGACGAGGCTGTCTGTCATCAGTATTACTCACATGGCTTGCTTGAGTTTCCCTCACATAGTTACATGAACCATCACTCTTTGTTCTAATCTTAGGATGAAGATTCAGGCTTTCCCCACCCCTGGGAAAACAGAGCTTCCCTGGCGCCACCATTCTGAGTGGCAGCGGGTTTTCATCTGAGATTCCCAGTTGTCCCCGGGGCCCCCCGCCCAGTGAATACGGCCCTCTCCCAGGAGGCAGGACAGGGAGAGTGCAGAGGGGACTGGGCTTTAGGGTAGGGTGCTCAGCCTCAGGGCAAAGGGGACCCTGGACACCTTCTGGACCCAGACAAAAGTGATACCGAAAGCAAGGATGATCGAATTGAGTCCAAACCTCCCCCTTTAAGGATTGTGAAGTTGGTGACGCGTGAACTCAGAAATGGATCAGCCAGGGGGCTCTCCTCTCCATCTCTAACTCTGCTCTCTTAGAGAGCTCTCATCACGCCCCCCAGAGCCTCTCAGCTGAACTCATGCTCCGCCAGGGCCCCAGCGATGATCTCCCAGGGCATCTCTAGCAGGTGGTAGGAGGATTTTAAAAGTCCAGATCCCAGTAAGAATATATGTATTAGAGACCTTCTTGTCCATCTGTAAAGAGGAGCAATACATGTGTCAGGCAATTAAACACAATACTTGATATTGCTGGTCTCGCTCGTCTGATGCCGAGACCAGGTCTGGATTTGGAGACTCGGTGATTGAATGGCAGGTCCTTGCTGTAATTCATGACCTCACTCAGGACTGAGTCCCACCCCTGCCCTCAAAACTATGCAAGCTCAGCACTACAGAGGGCCTGATCTTGCCACTGCGGCAGCTGGTTGCCTGTCCCCGTGTGCATGGCCTCAAGGGGAGACAGGCAGCCAGCAGAGGAGGACCCATCAGGAAGGAGAGCAGCGTGCCGGCCTTCTGCCAGGGCCTGGCCTCCTGCCTCCAGCCCTGTGCTCCTCCAGCCACTTGGGCCAAGTGCTGCATCTATACTCTCTCTGAGGGTCACACCGAAACAGCCATTCTGACACCCTCCGGGGTCTCCAACTGTGTTCCTTTTGATGTCCTTTGAGTTGGAGGAACAAAAGGAAGTCTGACAGAGGCAAGATCAGGGCTATAAAGTGAATGGCTTAAGGTTTTCCAATGACCCTCAGAGGATAGTCCTTGCTACCATCAAAGAATGGGCAGGAGCACTGTCATGGGAAAAACAGAAAATTCCTCAGCACAATGTTCCTGGCCCTTTTCTCACCAATGCATTCTTAAGTTTTTGCCAAACTACTTCATGGTAAGCCCCCAAATCATCCTGTATCCTTTGAGAAAATCTTGTCGAGGACATGATGGGCAATTGGTGTTTGCGAGTTCACAAAGGCAATGGCTTCCGTTCTACATTGGTGAACAGTGACTAGGGTCTTAAAAGTTTGTGAATAGTCATCTACAGTGCAGCCACTGGCCTCTCCCGGTCCAGGAGAAAGATGTGTGAAGAAAGTTGAAGACATATGGAAACCACTCGTCGCATGGACTAAGGGACCACATAAATCTCAGTCTCTACTGCCCGGAGATCGGGAGAACTAGATGGTGCCCTGCCATCACTACCAACTGCTCTGCAGAGGATCACATTAGAAGGTCCCAGGGAGTGTGAGAGAAAGATCTAAAGCAAAATTTAAAATCATTAAAAAAAATCAGACTTACTGGTCTGATAAAGGTGGGTGGAAACACCCCCCCCCACACACACACACACCACACACACACTCTAGGCCTTGGTCACTTCAGGTAGGGAAATTATCTCACCCCACTGGCTCAATTGTCACCCAAGGACCCAGATCAGAGGGCTAGGAAAGGAGGCGGAGTGGAAACAGAAAACACAGGGAGCAAGTGGGATAAGGGATATTTCATTATGGGGACTGTAATTGTGGGATATAAAGAGGCCTTTCCCCAGCTGGTCTCCCCCAAATATATGTCAGACCTAGGACTCTGCTTGCAACTAATGGTAAGTGATTGTCAAGCTATTTCCCTGAAGGCATCAGTCATGCAGAGCAAGCAGACCCTACTGTCTGTCCCACCATAGGCGGGGCTCACTCCCTACTGTTAAGACAGAGGATTGCTTTCCTGATGGAGAACTCAGAACAAGCCAAACCAACTCAGTGATATCCAAGGTGAGGCTGCCATCATGAATCTAGGATCCACCCATCTTGTCACATGTGTACCCTTAATCCATCCTCTTCCTATAGCAGGTACACCCCTGGATCATCCCCCTATGACTGTATTGCCGGTGGTACAACCCCTTCCTGTGATGCAGGTTGTTACCTGTAATCAGGGGGCTT